TTGACTGAGCTACCTGTTTTGTTTTATGTGTTGTTGAAGGCGGTAGTTTGTTTGTCTGAACTTTATTAGTTCCCCAACTGAACCAACCACTTGGCTTTGAGCTTGGTTGTCTAGCCCCAAAGTTTAGTTTTTTGTCAATCCCCCATTCCTTACCAGAGTCATCATTTTGACTGGACTTCCAGAAATTGAAAGGCAACTCTTTCGTTTTTCCTGATGGAGATTGAAATTCTTTACGTAGAGGATCACTATTTGAGGAGCCCCAGTTAAGGGAAGCTTTTGATTGAGCTACCTATTTTGTTTTTTGTGTTATTGAAGGCGGCAGTTTGTCTGTCTTAACTTTATTAGTCCCCCAACTGGACCAACCACTTAGCTTTGAGATTGTTTCTCCAGCTAACAAATTCTGTTTTATCTGTCAAAATGCATTTGTTTTCCTCACCCTAACATTTTCCATATTCCATTGGAATGGATGGTGCATTAAATTTTGTATCTTTCTAATGTGAACTTGTACAATATATTGTTGTTATGCAATGCAGCATTGTTGTGGTTTTGTGTTTACTTGTATTTATGATATTATATTTCTATTTTAATTTCATTTTGTGGGATAATTGGTGGGGGTAAATTTTCATGACACTCCTAGTTTCTACAAATTTGAAATCACAAACCTTAATTTTGTTCTCTCTCTCTCTCTCTCTCTCTCTCTCTCTTTGATATTAAATTTTCATGACACTCCTAGTAATACTCTCATAAAAATCATAAAAAAAAATTAATAACACAAATTTTTAAAATAAGTTTAAGTTTTTTCAAGAGTCTTCATAAACATCTAACAAGTAAGATTTAAAAAAAAAAAAAATTCATAAACAAATTTAAAAAAACTAAATAAAATATAATTTTTTTCGAGATGGAGAAGCCTAAACTTTTTAAAATAGCAATTTAATAAAAAATCAAAATAAAAACAGTTTACTAAAAGCCAAAACAAAAAGTCATCAAATAAAAAGGGTTAATTTTTTAATGTTCCCTTTTCCTTTCACTCAACAAATTCCCTTCATATCCTAAATCCAAATACAGCCCAAGAAAAGAGAAGAAGAAGAAAAAAGAAAAGAAAAAAAAAAAAGACCTATCATATTACAAAATTAAACTGCAACAAAATCTTTTTTAAAAACAAAAAGAAAATAATAGTTATTTAGGTAGAAAAGTTAGACCTACTTTATAGGTCTACTGATATGTCAAGAAGAGGATTGGTTGATAATTAAATATTATCTGATTATCAACCAATCATCTTCTTGACACATCACTAAGTCTATAAAATGGGTACAAAAAATGGAGTTGTATATCATGTTTCAAAAAAAAAAAAAAACCTTAAGTATTCACATAATTCAACATACATTCCTATTATTCATAACAAACATGCCACATAATCTCTAGAAATTTAACAATTATCTATCAAGATACATAACTATATACACTATATTACTCTTATTTCTAAACCAAACATTAAACGCTTAATGTTTAATCTAATTATTGAAAATTCAAAGACCAAACATAAAAATTCCAAAGCATTAAAGAAATCTGAGAGAGTTCATTCATTAATCCAGAACATTTATTAACTCATTGCAAATTCAATAAAGAAAGTGATGAACTAATAAAGAATTGCAAGGGAGAGCACTCAACAAAAAAAAAATATATACAAATCTATATGTATGTTTGGTGAGTAAAAATATTATATTCACCCAGTTGAGTAAGATGAAAAAAAAATCTATGTAACAACCCAATACAAGTCAACATTAACTTGGAATTTTTTTTGGAGGCTCAACCCATTAAGAAAAAACAACACACCTCTTCAAACACCAAATAACATTACAAGAAATAATACTTTTTGTGTCACTTGTAACCTATGCATATACAAAATTATTCATCCATCCATTCATTTATTCAATTCTGAACCTTCAATAAAAATATTTATCCACAACCCGTAGCATTCAATTTTCAACCATATATACAACTTAGCTATTAACCGTACATATCAAAGAAAATAAGAATCCATAAACATAGTATAATCTAACAAATACATATACTATCCGAACCAACAATTACAATTCAAACTAAAAAAATATAAATTTAATGTAAATTTAATGTAAATTGCGCCCATAAACAAAAAATATAATGTAAATTGCGCCCATGCAAACATCATAAATTTGGCCCAAAAACATCACTGCCATGCCAACATTATCAATCTGCAACAAAAACCAGTGAGGTAAGTAATAAAAAATGCAGAGCTTGATTTTTGTTTAAACAGAATATGGTTCAATTTATTTAACAAGTAATTTAGCTTATAGAGACGGAAAAAATTAGATAACTAACTCAATTGAATTTAGATGAATAACACAACGAATATACCAATTGAAATAACAAGACTAAATAAAGAAAAATCAGTCAATGATTCCTTTTAGCTTAACATATTGTTATTTCAAAGATTTCAACTAAAATAGGCAAATAACGATTTATGAGGATACAACACACAATATCAATTATACAGCAACAAAATGAATTTATCAATTAGCTTTTTCGCACCCTTAACGCCCTTTTTGCTTTTTCGCACCCTTAACGCCCTTTTTCGATTAAGTTGAATGCATTTTCGACTCTAACTCCCAACCTACTCGTGCTAATTACATTCCGTCTGTTGTCACAGGTCCTATTTGTCACAGGCAATCTAGCTGTGACATCCGTAACGTGGTTCTGGGGTTGTTTCGCAGTTTCGCCCCCTTAACACCCTTTTTCGGTTAAGTTTAAGGCATTTTCGGCTCCAACTCCCAACCTACATGTGCTAATTAAATTCCGTCTGTTGTCACAGCTCCTATTTATGATGGAGAAGTTGGCTGTGACATCCATACGGTAGTTCAGGGGCTATTTCGTATTTTCGCTTTCTTAACGCCGTTTTTCGATTAAGTTTAAGGCGTTTTCGGCTCTAACTCCCAACATACCAGTGTTTTTTAAGGCGAAAAGCGAACCGAGGCAACAAGGTCTCCTAACGCTTAAGCGCGAGGCGACGAGGCGAGGCGAGGGCTTCATCGAATCGAGGCGACCAGAAATGATATTTTTTAAAAATAAATGGTATAGACAAAAATATAAATATTTTCAAGAACCATAATGCAGTTATCATTCCAAATACTAAATATCCATAAACAAAAGAAAATATCCAACAAAGACAAATACAATCCACCAATCCTAAAGTTCTAAAAATCATGCCGGATCTTTTTTACTTTCACTCGACTTCGACATTAATTCTGTCCAACAAGCAATTCAATGTTTCAGCATAAAGAAATTAAAGAACATATTTTAACAACATTAAAGAACATAAAGAAATTAAAATAGTTGAAATTAATTGAATGAAAATAATTAATTGAATAACCAGGAAATTAAAATAACTAGGAAATTAATTGAATTAAAATAAACAAATTAATTGAATTAAACAAATTAACTGAATTAAAATAATTAATTGAATAACTAGTAAATTAAAATAACTAGGAAATTAATTGAATTATTGAAATGTTAACACAGAAAAAAAATAATTGAATTAATTGAAAAAAAATTAATTTTAAAATAATTGAATTAATTGTAAAAATTAATTTTTGTAAATTAAAAATTAATTTAAAAAAATAATTGAATTAATTTTAGCACTGGGTTCAACAGTGAACCCAGGTGAAGTCGAAGGGAAGAAGAAAAAAATGAACAAAGGAAGAACAGGGGGTAAGACAGTGAACCCAGGTGAAGTCGAAGGGAAGAAGAAGAAGAAAGGAAGAAGAACTCACCTGTAACGACGTTCGAAGAAGGAAGAAGAAGACCCAGGAGGTGAAGTCGACTTCGGTATGCCTTTCAATGTCGACCCAGGAGGTGAACTCAACTGTAACGACTGCAATCTAGGGTTTGGACTTCTCATTTGGTAGAAAGCAACTATAAAACTAATTAACTTTGTCGATGAAGGGCCCAGATGAGTCGAACGAAGTCGACGAAGGGCCCAGATGACTCAAACTGAAATCTGGCAAAAAACAGGTGAAGCGTCGCTTCGTTTCGCCTCACGCTTCATCGGCTAAGCCTCGCTTCAGGCGCTTCTTCATCGCCTCACCATTTCGCCTCGCCTCAGGGTGCGTGAAGCGCTAAAGCCTCACCTCGCCTCACCTCGCTTAGCGCTTAGGCGAGCACTTAGGCTCGCCTCTGATAACACTGCAACATACACGTGCTAATTACATTCCATCTGTTGTCACAGGTCCTATTTGTCACGGGAAAGCTGGCCGTGACATCTGAACGGTGGTTCGGAGGCTGTTTCGCAGTTTCGCCCGCTTAACGCCCTTTTTCGGTTAAGTTTAAGGTGTTTTCGACTCTATCTCCAAACATACACGTGCTAATTACATTCCGTTTGTTGTCACATGTCCTATTTGTTACAGGGAAGGTGGCCGTGACATCCGAACGGTGGTTTGGGGGCTGTTTCGCAGTTTTGCCCTCTTAACGTCTTTTTTCGGTTAAGTTTAAGACGTTTTCGGCTGTAACTCCCAACTTACACGTGCTAATTAAATTCCGTCTGTTGTCACAGCTCCTATTTATGATGGGGAAGTTGGCTGTGACATCCATACAGTAGTTCAGGGGTTGTTTCGTATTTTCGCTTTAGTAACGCCGTTTTTCGATTAAGTTTAAGGCGTTTTTGGCTCTAACTCCCAACATACACGTGCTAATTACATTCCGTCTGTTGACACAAGTCCTTTTTGTCACAAGGAAGGTGGCCATGACATCCGAACGGTGGTTCGGGGGCTGTTTCGCAGTTTTGCCCTCTTAAAGCCCTTTTTCGATTAAGTTGAAGGCGTTTTCGGCTCTATCTCCCAACATACACGTGCTAATTACATTCTGTCTGTTGTCATAGGTCCTATTTGTTATAGGGAAGGTGGCCGTGACATCCGAACGGTGGTTCGGGGGCTGTTTCGCAGTTTCGCCCTTGTAACGCCCTTTTTCGGTTAAGTTTAAGGCGTTTTCGGCTCTAACTCCCAACATACACGTGCTAATTATATTCCGTCTGTTGTCACAGGTCCTATTTGTTACAGGGAAGGTGGCCGTGACATTCGAATAGTGGTTCGGGGGCAGTTAAGCAGTTTCGCCTTGTTAAAGCCCTTTTTCGGTTAAGTTGAAGGCCTTTTCGGCTCTAACTCCTAACCTATACGTGCTAATTACATTCCGTCTGTTGTCACAGGTCCTATTTGTCACGGGAAAGCTGGCCGTGACATCTGAACAGTGGTTCGGAGGCTGTTTCGCAGTTTCGCCCCCTTAACGCCTTTTTCGGTTAAGTTTAAGACATTTTTGGCTCTATCTCCCAACATACACGTGCTAATTACATTCTGTCTGTTGTCACAGGTCCTATTTGTTACAGGGAAGGTGGCCGTGACATCCGAACGGTGGTTCGGGGGCTATTTCGCAGTTTTTCCCTCTTAACGCCCTTTTTCGGTTAAGTTTAAGGTGTTTTTCAGTTGGTGAATTTTAGAAAATCAGCAAAGTTAATGCATATGAACAAAATCAGAGCAGACGGGGGCTAAAATCATACCAAGTGTTAAGCTCTATTCCTATTCAATCATCTGTGACCCCAAACAACTAAGCAAGCACTATAATTTATGTAAAGTTGTGATTACATTCTCATGATCCATATGGGAAAGCAGTTTGATTTCGCGTGACGTCCTCATTGCTACACATTCTCAAACTGAAAGACAAGGGATACATCTATTCAATGAAAAAATAATCAAAGCAAAACAAGAAATAAACAGGGAGAATTCCATAGAAAAACTGTCGAGGACGAAGTAATGGAAACATGGAAATCTACTGAAGTTATACACACGGGAGAATGTATAACACGGACCAAGCTAAATTTTAGTGAATGAATGAGACCAAAAATCTTTGCCCAGTTCAAAAGCTCCCTATTAGATTTAATAAAAAGGTTTCATCATTTATGAATTTAAACTGATTAAATTATAATCATGAAAGGTAACAACACAGTAAGCATTAAGGAACTATATACTGTACAATTTTATTTGCTGCAAATAAAAAAGTTGTCCAACTTCAAAAAAATAATATGAAACCATAAAAGTTGGAAGGATCAAAAAGTGCACATAATTGGGAAGGCCAAGCTTTCCTATAGCAAAAAATAAAAAATAAAAAATAAAAAGAAGAAAGGGCTACAAATGTCCTACTAGTGGGTTTACAAAGTACTTAAATGGACTCTAGTAAACAAGATTGTAATTTTCCACATATTCTAGTTCACGTGTAATTCAAATGCTATGCAATCTGTCATTCTGTTTTAAACCCTCAGTCCCTCACCAGATATGTGGTAGAAAAAGTCAGAATGGCCACACTAGGACGGGTTATCTCTTTTTCCAGAATATATATGCTTATAGATTTTATGCCTTTGACTTAAAGAGGTAAGATCTGTTGCCCTCATGGAGAATTTGAGACATGCTCATGACCATAATGAATTGTAAGCCTCAACCTTGAATCCATGTATAAAGAGCACAAAACCTTGCTGAAAGCTAAGAATGTCAACTCTTCCATAGAATGTCATCTAGCATTCAATTAGACATCCTAAAATCCAAGAAACCAACCTACTTCATCAAATGAATGTCAATGTGATAACATGACTAACTAGAACAAAACCAAACAAACATAATATATATATATATATATATATAAACCACAATAAAGAGATCATGCAAAATAAACTACTTATGGTTATGGACAGACCTGTTATTTCTAGCAATTGGCAGTGATGCTACCACCTCTGCAGAAAGAGCATAGATAGGACCATAAGCATGCAAGAAATATTCACTACCAATCAGATGTCCTGATTTCGCATACCTGGAAATATTTGCAATAGAAAAAAAACTCAAAAATTAGGTTGCAAATAGTTATACACACTTCATTAATATATACATTATTGCATAAACAAAAAAACACAAAAATATAAATTTAAAGGAGGGAGGGGTAAAAGTTTTCCTATCTACCACTTCAGTTGAGGGTTAGTTGTCACAGGTCCTTTCTTTATGCATCCAATGTAAGTCAGTGAATGGCTTCTCTCTTTGGCCAAAAGAGTTGCAAGTCGATGGGGAGCAAGAACAAACCCAACACTAAGTACACCCAAATATAAACAAGACCTATTTACAGAATAAACCAGGTACATCCCACATGGAAGGCCAAAATTAGGTCCAGGAAATACATATAGTATCACAATAACTATTACAAACATAATAACAAAGTAAATATTCCAACTGTATGAATACCATCACGACGCATCCACAACAGCATCAAGCCAGCAGCAGCAACACACAACCAGCAACAACCAGAATCAAGAAACAACAAGCAACCAGCAACCAGCAACCAGAAACACAGCAAGCAGCTAGCCCTTCCTTCAAAATAGTAACAAAAATAGCAGCAACAGCATCTAGAATCTTAGCAGACAACAATTGGGACAATATCCACCAAATCGGATAGCTTGCTCTACGCCATCATTCAGTCAAATGATCCTAAAAACAGCCAAGCAATCAACAAAAATATAGGACAATTCAACAATAGCTAACACAAACTAAGCTCACATGATACTGACTATCATCACTCAACCCTTAGATAACACTCAAATTGAGCAACAAATAGCAGTTAAATACAAAGAAATAACAAACTATTCAAACAGTGTCTGACTCAATCACTTTACCCACAACGACTAACTCCCCTAAATTAGACCAGCTAAAAACCTGCACCAATAAAACAGTCAGCCAGATATAGGAGCTTACCAAACTCAACCCTCATGAGCACAAATAATCCCTCCTCACACACAGTCCTAATATAGGAGCTCACCATCACTAAACCTACCATCCCTAATAACCTGCATTAACAAACTATGAGAGACAAAGAATAATATTGCTCCATTCACTCAACCCACAACCTCACCCTCTCACACAATATTTATGGGATAACCTCACATCACTCAACCCACACATCCACAAATTGGCCAGCTCTCCCCAGAATAACCTGCAAACTAACAGCAAGACTAGAAATAGTGGCAAGCAAAGACCTGCCCTTAATATTAACAGCCAACCCAAGCGGTATATCCTGCCATGTGATATAAGTATGACATTTCCCATAGGCAAACCTTCACATACGGCACTAAGCTGTGAAACGCCATCATCCGCTGCATTATTGTCATGGTCTATTGCTTGGCGTCGCCCTCGCCCTCGGCCTCTACTTACACCACGACGGTCGCTACAACCTCTACCCCTACCTATCCCTCTGGTAGGTGCATGGACCTGGCCCTCCCCCTCCCTGTCAATGTGGAAGTCATGGGTAAGGAGTGGATCAACATGGTAGGTGAAGGTTATATGTGGTGTAGGAGATGATGGTGGGGTAGGAGATGATGGTACTGTGAAAAGGTCAGGTGCGGTCAATGTCGACGCAGAGGGAATCACAGTAGACAGACATGTAGTAGACAGTGGTGTTAAGGGAGTCACCGGGGTACCAACCGCTGTCCTATGTGGGGGTGGTGACCAGGAGGGGTCCAATATATGGCCATGGTGTGTGGAAGTATGTTCGGACATTAGAGGATCTACCTCAGGGGCAAACTGGGATGTGTAATTGGTACATTTAGGTGGGGAAGTCTGCGGTGTACGCATTGTTGTAGATGGACCATGAGGGGACAGACCCATGGAAGGCCCCTCGCCAAAGTGCTCCATATCGAAATTGTCCAATTGATGTGCATGACGTGGGGTAGGATACGGTGGAGGCATTGATGTCGATGGCTCAGTGGATGGCATATTCGGGTGCGGCATTGATGTCGTTGTAATATCTTCTCCAATATAAGGATCCTTGCCAAAGTGGCCAAAATCTAGTCGGTCACGTCGGTGTGCCTGTTGCAAACCATCGTACAATAACTCCCATATCTCGGCAATGGCATCGAATGCCTCTCTACCATCGCGTGTAATATGGACAGCGTCTGCCACGTGATATGCCCTTGCAACTCTACGAACTTGTAATGTCATGGTAGCTGTGTTACGTAACCATCGATGCCAAATAAGAAACATAGACAAACTTAAGCAAAGGTTGTTTTGGAGAATTTAAAGAACTTACCAATCCCTTTAAACTACCCCCGACGCCTTGGTATCCGAAGGCAACAATGTCACTCGGATTACTTAGTACGAGACGTGTATGACGGCGAAACTCTAACATGTATGGGTCGGAAGATGTAAGCACTTCATTGCTCCTCTCAGCATGGACAATGGTGTTATGTCTGTTGTTCCACTCGTCTATAAACGTCTGGTATTCCTTCGCCCAATCAATGGCCATTTTGCCACGCCTATCTCTGAAATGCATTGCCAAGTGGGCGTCAAAACGATCAGGCACACTCTGAACTCGTCCAAACTGTCTAAGCACCCGGTCGGGGAGATGCCAATCAATTATATCGAAGCATATATAAGTTGCATTCGTGCCATCCATGTCTCAACCAACAGTACAATACGATGGGAAGCTGGTCATGATGTCATCCTCCGCCCCGTAAGGCTCCCATATGAACTACAATAATGATGCAATAATTTAGAGATCTATCCGTACACCGAAGGTCGACAAACATGAAAATGGCTAAATTGACATGAACAAATTACAAACCTCTCCCCTCTATCATGCGGTCAAATTGGTCCCGAAAGATGACACTAACATTAGTTGATATCACCTCGTTGCTAAAGGGAACCCTCCACCTGCAAGCTCACGGGCCAGGTGGTAACATCTGGTCGCCCTCCCCTATGGCACGCTCGCCAGCAGCAATGTGCGACTTCTGACTAGGGGCAATCCTGCTCAATCTCTCCCACTCCCAAACCTACAATGAATGATGCCATTATTAATTTATTACACTACGCACTTTAGAAGACATGGCAATTGAGAATATGAGATAAAACAACAAGTCATTGCAACTCACTTGTAACAACACAAGTGGCCTAGCCATCTCCTTTGTATCAGCCTTAGTCGCCCGACACAACATCCTATACAAACAGGCCAATGTGGCGCCACCCCAGCTGCACTCCTGGATATGGTCAGAGTCTCTAAGTAGTGGCAAAAACATCATCTTCACTATATTTTGTGACTTATCGGGGACGAGCACCCCCCCCCAATAAGCCACATAATATAGGCTCGAGCGTAATGATAAACCGTCTCATCGGGTGCTTCATGTGGAAGGTGACGAAAATGCTCTGATATCCATTTCAACTTAAGCGATGATCCTATAGAGTCTTGTTGTGTAGGTGCTACTCCTAACAACTCCACACATAGCGCTATCAAATCATCCAACTTATTTCCTGGGTCTTTTCCAGTGACTGCGTCTCCGTCCACTGGTAGGCCAAATAGAATAGCCACATCCTGTAATGTAACTGTGGGCTCTCCGACAGGGAAATGAAATGTGCGCGTCTCTATGCGCCACCTCTCTACGAGAGTTGTAACGAGATGGTGGTCCAATCGAATAGGTCCAATCCGGTACACCCCATAGAACTCTGCATGCAGTAGGCAACGTAGGACTCCATGGTCTAAGGCGGTGTCCCATATGCCCGAATCAGATCGTCCGCATTTCAATTTCGGCTGATCTTTCGCCTGCACAAAACAACATTGTGTATGAGACATAATGCTTGTACATACACATTTGATTACTGAAATGACAATTGAATTTTCATAATGAACCCATATTCTATTAGCTGAAGCAGTGGGTGACATAGCCAACATTTTAGTGGTGCATAGTGCGTAAGTGGTGTAAATGTACAAAGATAAATACATACAAACACAGATTTGCAGTGTCATGACATAGAAATGAAAAGCTCCATCAAAACTAATATAAGTTTTAGAATGTTTGGTACACCTGTTAACGAAGTTGGGTTGTACCCTTCATTGTAGACTGTAATGGGGGTTTATGTGGTTTTCAGTTAAATTAGAAGGGCGTAAAATATAACTAAACCGTCATTTCATCATTGAGATAAGAATTAAATAAGTTAGGGATCAAATGAATACAATGAAATATTACAGACTAATATTACATCTAATGAATATATTTTGAAGAGTTTAAAGTCCTTTATTTTGAAATGAAAAATGTCGCTCGAGCTATATTAATGCAAGTTGTAGTATGAAATAAGTTAAAAGTTATCAAAGTAAACGAATAAGCTAAAATAGTCAGTTTGTCAATAATTGAAATTGTTAGTGTTCTTATTTTATATAATTTTTAGGACACTAAAAATATAAAATAAGAAATCGCTAGGAAGTAGAAGATTATGTTATTCGGAATTGGCAAAACGCTTCACTGATGAACCACTGTTGAATTGAATTTCACTTTCAATGCCTTTGGACTTCATTATAATTTTGTACGAAACTGACCTGAAACCTTCTAAATTTGAACTTTTAGGGATCAAATGAATACAATGAAATATTACAGACTAATATTACATCTAATGAATATATTTTGAAGAGTTTAAAGTCCTTTATTTTGAAATGAAAAATGTCGCTCGAGCTATATTAATGCAAGTTGTTGTAGTATGAAATAAGTTAAAAGTTATCAAAGTAAACGAATAAGCTAAAATAGTCAGTTTGTCAATAATTGAAATTGTGTGTGTTCTTATTTTATATAATTTTTAGGACACTAAAAATATAAAATAAGAAATCACTGGGAAGTAGAAGATTATGTTATTCGGAATTGGCAAAATGCTTCATTGATGAACCACCGTTGATTTGAATTTCACTTTCAATGCCTTCGAACTTCATTATAATTTTGTACGAAACTGACCTGAAACCTTCTAAATATGAACTTTTATTTGTATAATAATTATATATTTAGTTATATAAATGACTATGCCAGAGAGAAATATTAATATTAAACAACACCTCACATTTTCCCCCAATTGAAAATGATCTATAGAACCCCCGTGGTGGGTAGGTAAGTAATAAGGATTATTACAAGTAGACCATATGGAATTTTTTATTTTTTTCAAAGTTTGTATCTAATCTTATTATAAATGGTGAGGGGTTATGACCACGTGGTACTCGGACACTTACTAGCAGGGTAGATTCCATATGCCCGTACTTGTAAAATCTACATCTACTCATTAACAATAAAAATATAACAACATAAAACATATTCACTCCGACAATAGGACAACTGAAACACACTCTCTCTCTCTCTCTCTCTCTCTCTCTCTCTCTCTCTCTTCTGAAATGAAACTGAAATCAAACCCTCTCTGTCTTCGCTTCTCTTTTAGCTGTTGTAAAATATAATCCACAATTATTATTAGATATTCTTAAAGCATCACTTGATATTATTTATGTGAAACTTTTGACAAATGAGAAATCATAACATATTAAGTGAATTATTTATTATTTCTTAATTATTTAACAAAAGTGAATCAACATATTTTTCTTCTAGAGTACTACATAATTAGCCAGCTAGCAAGGATAATTATTGAGTCATCCTAGAGTATCATGTGGTGTTATTTATTTAATGTTCCCAACTACTTACGTAATGAAAATTTTTACAAGATATAATGTTGACTGACTTTATGAAATAGGTAGAAGACAAGGAACGAACACCTGGGCTTTCGTTTGGCATGTCAAAAAGACAAAATAGGCTAAAAAGCTAATAAGACAAAATGTTACATGTAAACCATAATTATTTCATTTTTTCTTTTACAAAAGCAAAAAACTCTATCCCAAATGAGGCTTTTTTGCCCCAGGCTCAAATAGCTAAAAAGTTAAAAAGTCAAAAAGTTAACCCACATCCCAAACGAACCCCTTAATGTGTTTATTTGGTACAGTTTATTGTAAGTCAACGGTTAGTAATAAAAAAGAAGCCGAAAGCATTATTTCTGTAACATTATGGTACTTAACTTTTTCAACTTATTTAAAAATAAGAGTTGCACCAACAGGCCAATACGCAACTCTCAAATTATAATTAACAAAAAATCTACAAACAATTCATGTAAATTATACTAAAAATCGTCTCATAAAAATTGACAACAAAACAATGTGGGTTACTAGTGTGAAAATAGTTCCTACTATGAATTCCAAAAACCAGCGGGTGGTTCCCGCTGTTACAACACTTAACTATTTTTGAAAGGGCAAACTCCACCTATTTTTAAAATTTTTTATTGAAATTTATCAATTGAAATAATGTTCTTCAAGTAAGGAAGTAGACAGATCTAGTTTTCCACACTGCGATGGTACTATGAGTCGCTAAAATTGGATTATTTAATAATTTTTTGAGTAGGTAATGGGTGATGAACTAGGACTTCTGATTTGATGATTATAAAGTATTACTTTGTGATATAAGATGATGAATTGAACCTCCATAAAAAAAGAATATTGTTTGTGATATTGTTTATGATTATATAGTATTAACCAGTGTTTTTTTCTTTTTTTTTTTGGTTAAGCTAGCGGTCCATTTAATATAATCTTCTCCGTTCTCTCTCTATGGACTAACATTTACACTTGGGGAAATTTGTCTAAACCATTGAAATGTCCAAATAGGATGATACATGGACTAACATTTATAGTTTCACTTCATATTATGTAACAACAACAGTGTTTGTGTAGTATTCAAATATCGATTATAAGTCATACCGACTGACGCCATATCGTATCGGCTCGATGCTGATGGATCAATAATGGGATCTCCTCTGGTAAATGAGTCATAGACCTGCACAAGTTTTCATATATGAAATCGATATCCAATAACAAGAAGTTTGACAATAGTACATACATATGCTGACAAAATTAGAATACGACCTGACAGTATATCACAGGTATACAAACTGCAACAAGTTAGGGAAAACAAAAAGAAAGAGATGCATGAAATGAAAAAGTTAAAATAATATCACGGAAGTGTGTTCTTCCACAATAACCCCTAATATCAATTATCGGTACCATTTCATATCCTCTGCATGTCTATAAATAGCAGTACCCCAACTACGATCATTTTCCAACCCATCTCAATAATTATTTACAACCCATATATTTATTTTCATTTTGCTGTATACAAGAAATGTCTTCAAGGGGTGCAGGCAGTTCACGCCAGCGAAGGATGCCAAAAGTGTGGCTACTACCTCCATTTAGTTATGACTACGTGAGCGAAAAATACTCTAGCCCAAAGGATTATTATGCTGGTATTCGGGCAGATTGGGCATTCATGGTAACGGAGCAGGAGAGCTTGTTTAATGATCTACGTAACTTAGGGGCACCGGTACCTCATCGTCGTTCATTGAGCATGCCTAGACGAAATGTGGGTGACTATGAGGAAGCAGTTAGCAGAATTCAAAAGGAGAACAACAAAATGTTACTGCGGAGATGTCGCCATTTCATGCTTCAACTAGCAACTGAAGTGGCGGAAGCAAGCAACAGAGAATTGACTATAACCGAGCAAAATCACGTCTTAAACAATGAAAAATATGTCTCTGACTACTACATGTCAGATGAGGAATGACAAATCAAACATCTAAGTGTTGTTCAATATGTGTGTATGTTGTACCGAGCCTATTTTCAAGATATGTAACCGTCCAGTTTAGTATGTGTGACTGTTTTATGTTGTTGGTGTGTATCGGGTCTATGTTGTGTAACCGTCCACTGCACTATTGTTGTTCAACTACGTTATTAACCGTCTGTTGCACTATGTGTTACTGTTTTATGAAGCTTAAGTTTATTAAAAGTGTACATTAATGTACACTCACCTATAAACATGGCCTACAAAATTTGGATTTGCATTGGTAACTTGTGGCTAGCCATTACAATGTATCTTATCATCATACATCCAACCAAGTTCAGTCACTGTCGTCATTATCAATGGGGGATGACTGCATATTATTTTCGAAAGAATGTTCCATAATTAATTTCAGGAAAGCAAAAAAAAATTGTTTACATTAAAGGGACCAAACGAACGCGATCAGCTGGACAGCCACATTTTATTTGAAAGTATAGACCCATTTAATCTATCAATTATGGATGTAAATCATAAAATAAAATGCTAACCATTAACAAGGGCCATTGGAAGGGGCATATGTTGACAATTATCGCATTTTAAAAATGTTGTGCATTTTCAGTGAAACCATTACACAAGTCATAATTTCACATTCTAAATTCTCCTTTTATTGATAACTTGTGGATATGCATTACAAAGCCATTACAAGAGAGATTGTTCCGTCAAACATCAAAACAATTTCATTCATCATCATCATTTGACATCTCAATGTCAGATTGATACATAGCATCCATGCTCCAACTGAAATATTGTTGTGCATCATCCATTAAGCCATCATCGGCACGCTCATTCGCTGTCTTCCGAAGTTCAGACCTTTGCAAACGTTGGGTCATGTGATTAACTTGATCGCGAATACGATGCAATGCCTTTTGCAACAACTGTGGTGTGTCAATTCGCATACGCATGGCTAATCGTCGAGGAAATTTAATATGAACTTCACGACATAGCTCAACGAGAACGGTAGCTCGTGTTATGCGAAATTCCCACTCAGCTCTCATGGTATTGACGGTGTGATGTGAGTAGCGCAAATTTGGATTTAATGGGTATTGAAATTCACCTCCGTCTGCAACCCAATGGCGACCCATTGCGGAATATAGATTAACCACCATATATGTCATGATGATATCTCTCGGTTTTTGTGTGAACATGTAGGTCTGCTAGGGTGTGATACTTATAGCGGTGACTGGGAACAATAGTTCCAACCTGCAGAACACATAAAATGGAGATGGACACGATTACTCATGTCTGTGTGTTTACAGTAAGTGGAAGCACGTTATCACGTCAGCCTTTATGGCATGAAAAAACGTGCTTTTGCTTTGTCATCATGGTGCCTGTGTTTAAAGTAATTGGAAGAGTATATCACAGGTATACAAACTGCAACAAGTTAGGGAAAACAAAAAGAAAGAGATGCATGAAATGAAAAAGTTAAAATAATATCACGGAAGTGTGTTCTTCCACAATAACCCCTAATATCAATTATCGGTACCATTTCATATCCTCTGCATGTCTATAAATAGCAGTACCCCAAGAGCGTTGTCACGTCAACCTTTATGACATGAAAAAACGTGCTTTCACTTGATGTCATGACGGTACTTGTGTGTTTAAAGTAATTGGACTAGCGTTGTCATGTAAACGTTTATGACATGAAAAAACATGCTTTCATGTCATTAGGCGATGTCAATTCGGCTTGTCAATTCGATAGATTTCAAATCCATACATCTAATGAGGGTTTTTAGAAGATGTGAAATTCACATATAAAAACTGTTTAAAACTAATCATTTACCAATATGTACTAAATTTAAGAGAAATTTCTTTCTTGGAAAAATGGGCTACCGTCACGTAATGAATTTTTTGATAACTAAAAAACGGTTCACCACCTAACAAAATGTGGCTACGCATTGAATATTACATGCATTTATATTGTTGCTTACTAATTCATTTCACATTATTGTGATAGGAGATAAGGTACACATGGTACCTGTGAGTTTAAAGATATTGTCAGCGCGTTGTCACGTCAAGCTTTATGACATGAAAACCCATGCTTTAAGTAGATTTCAAATCCACTACTCAAACTTTTTAGAACAACTAAGCATTTACCAATATGTACTAAATTTAAGACACATGATTGAATTGATAAAATGGCCTTCCCTCATGTAATGAATTTTTCGAAACTAAAAAAACAATTCACCACCTAATAAAATGTGGCAACGCATTGAATATGACATGCATTTATATTGGTGATTAGTAATTCATTTGACACTATTGTCATAGGAGATAAGGTTCACATGGTACCTGTGTGATTAAAGTTATTGTCAACGCGTTGTCACGTCAACCTATATGACATGAAAAACGTGCTTTCACTTTAAAGTTGTCGTCATTTGGGCAGGAAAGAAATACGAAGGTCTGAAGCGGGTTTTAAGTAGATTTGAAATACAGTAGTGAAACTTTGTACAAGAATTAAGCATATACCAATACGTAGTAAATGTTCAAGATATGAAGTCGTAATACGTAGTAAGTAGATTTGCCACATTTGACCAAATCTATGTTATCAGTAATTGAAGTCGTAAATACATTATCAATTTACTGAATACTAATTCATTGAATAGTAAATTAACTCCAATTCAAAGAAAGTAACGTGGAAGTAATACGTAAACAAGACAAAAAACTACTGTCGAATCGATCGGATTCTCACTGGACATTTTCTCTTATCATGCCCTCTTTGCAAACACAAACTACAATGGTACAATCCACTTTGCTTGGAAGTATCCATTTCGTTGTGGATGCGGGTATGTTGAGGACGACCTGTTTTAACTTCACGTTGTCGATCTGGAATAGCAAGCAAAGTTGGGTAATCATCATTAGGCCAATATTGCTCGTGCGGCATGGGCCTAAACTTCTGCGCGAAGATACGCTTGTGGACTTCCAACCTATACTTTGGTGCAACGGAAGGAAAAGGGTCCTCGCCCAAGTCTGCTGTCACAGCAAGCATGTGGGAACATGGCAAGTGAAACAATGTGTACTTCCCACATGAACTCGGTGGTCGGAGACTAACTATTTGACGAGCACCACCCCCCATCCCATGCGGTGCTGTCCTCACCTCATATTCCCTTATTCCCTTGCAGAAAAAATGTATGTACGTGGATTAATATGCATATATGTTTAAATATAGACTAACATCAATGATCGATGAGTGCGAAATGTTAATGTGTAAATTCGGTGCATCCAATAAAAATTACCTATTAATCGGTACCAACATATGCACATTCACTTTAGCTTGGTGCTCGTCAATCCATCATTGAACATTAGTCGTGTACAAGTGACCCTGATTACTCGTATTTTCAGCAATGGTCCTGCCCTCGTCAAAATATTTCACGAGCCGATAAAAAGTTATCTCAACTGATGCTGTAATGTGAACACTGCGTGCGTCTTTCAGTACACCATTGAAGCCCTCTATATGGTTTGTCGTCAATATGCCCCAACGACAACCACCATCATGGCACAATGTCCAATGAATAGGGTTCATCCGTCTAAACCACCGTTCAGCATTCTTCTCGAGCTTGTAGATATCGTCCATAATCTTATTAAACTTCCGCACTTGCCGTGCAGAACCACAAGCATGTGGGAACATGGCAAGTGAAATAATGTGTACTTCCCACATGAACAACTCGGTGGTCGGAGACTAACTATTTGACGAGCACCACTCCCCATCCCATGCGGTGCAGCCCTCACCTCATATTCCCTTATTCCCCTACAGAAAAAATGTATGTACGTGGATTAATATGCATATATGTTTAAATATAGACTAACATCAATGATCGATGAGTGCGAAATGTTAATGTGTAAATTCGGTGCATCCAATAAAAATTACCTATTAATCGGTGCCAACATATGCACATTCGCTTTAGCTTGGTGCTCGTCAATCCATCGTTGAACATTAGTTGTGTACAAGTGACCCCGATTACTCGCATTTTCAGCAATGGTCCTGCCCTCGTTAAAATATTTGACGAGCCGATAAAAAGTTACCTCAACTGATGTTGTAATGGGAACACTGCGTGCGCCTTTCAGTACACCGTTGAAGCCCTCTATATGGTTTGTCGTCAATATGCCCCAACGACGACCACCATCATGGCACAATGTCCAATGAATAGGGTTCATCCGACTAAACCACCGTTCAGCATTCTTCTCAAGCTTGTAGATATCGTCCATAAACTTGTCAAACTTCCACACTTGCCATGCAGAACCAGCTCTCCACACAAGATCCTTCGCTACTGTATTGCCGAATCTGTCATTGAAATTGCTACATACGTGTCGCAAGCAATACCTATGGTACCCTCTTGGTTGAACTGCTGGATTGTTCCAAATTCTTGACACGACACTAAGCAAAGCTGTGTGTCGATCGGATATCAATGTCACCCCCTCTCGGTCACGGCACACATGTCGCCTAAGCAGAGTAATGAACCAACCCCAACTCTCGATCATCTCCTTGTCAACAACGGCAAAGGCAAGAGGTACAATCTTGTCCGCAGCAGTCACTGCAGTGGCCGCAACAATCTTCCCTTCGTATTTCCCGTAGAAGTGTGCCGTCAATGCATATCACTGGACGACAATACTTGAAGCCTTCTATTGCAGGTTTAAATGCCCAGAACACATAGTTCATGTACATTTCAATTCCGATTGAGGTAGAGTGCAAATTCGGAATCATGTCCCACATGACAACTGTGCTTGGATTGAACGCCTACAATGCAGCCATATATCTAGGCAACCTTCGGTACGACTCGTCCCAGTCACCAAACACCATTGCAACTGCCTTCGTCCTTGCAAGCCACGCTTTCTTATATGATATAGTGAATTGAAACTTCTCCTTCACGACCTCAATTATGGTAGCAATAGGCAATTCTGGTAATATCTGCAAATATAAATTATATTTGAATACATTACAGTCATAATGAAATCCTAAAAACAATAATCTAGCATGGCACTTACCGCAATTTGTGCCTTGATGAAATGAGCAATGACGTCAGACTTGAGGTTGCAATTGTCCCTATTCATTCTAGGGTACACACACTGATGCGGCGCTTCAAACCTTCTAATTTGAAAGAAATCTTTGTCTTTCAACTTCGTTGCCCGAACCCTCCAGTTGCAGCCGTGCTTGCACTCAGCCACCCAACTGTTTCCTTTGGATTCTATGACCTTGCATTCTCGATTGCGCTTTAGGTTATACAACTGAACAACATGCACTAGTCTTTTCTTATCAGTAAATATCATTCCTTTCTCCAAATGAGCAGTTTCGAAGTCCCACAATGGTCAACGTTCGACAACATCACGGCTAGTGATGGAATCATCATTGTTGAAATGCAAATTATGGTAAAAAAGGATATGGACATTTGGGTGTACCTCCTGCATATCATGATGCCCTCCAACTTCGTCATCACCGGAGTCATTGTCTGCACCTTCCCATGCGCCATCCACATCTTCCACGGAATCTTCATCACTTACTCCAACCTTGTCAAACAATGGCACTGTATCATCGGAGGATGCATAATTTTGGACAGCCGTCTCCGTTGTACGTTGAACATTACAAACCGGTGGACATTCTTCATTCCAGTGGGGATATGGGGTTGTAAGAACCATCGGATTATACGTTGTCGGAGCACTTGGCCCTGCTCCGGCATTGTAATAACCATCTACGTTCTGTGATGGATTTAATTGATTATAACTCTGAGAATGATTGAATGGAGGGTAATCTTTAGGGAACATGTGTGCAAATTGTATAAGTGTATTGTCAGGGGATTGTAATTGTGTCAACATTTCCTGCCCACCGGAATTGGCATCTTTGTGCCACCAAAATTGCTCTCCTTCTCCACATAGATTTCCAAAAAATAATCAGGGCCTAATTTATGTGGGAGCTCTAAGACATTACTTAAGGTCTCATTATCTTTGATTGGCAGCAACCTATACTTCCCCCGACATGGGAGTCTACATTTAAACTCTAATGGCATGCGTACCAACCTTCGGCACCATCATAGCCTCCAACTCGCCCTATGTTATCCCCCTGTGCACATTATACAACCCCTGAAGTTCGGTGTCATACGACACCCCTTCATCGCGATTGCACAAAGTCTTTCCACCCCAATAGAACATAATGCTCACAACTTCCATACCTAAACTTTGCATTCAAAGTAACTCAATTATTTCAAAATAATAAAGTAAGCACATTTGAGCCCAAACACCACATATATTACACAGGAGTGCCTTTAGGCATGGGTCTTTTGGTATTACAAAATATTGAAGTGGCATATCGACGTGAACATGGAAATGAAAGTTATGTGCTCCATATATAATAGCATCCTATATGACTTATATTTCTTGTATTATTTAGAAGGATTATCTATTTGTACATTCAAACAAAAAATCATGTGTGAGATCATTTCTCCAATTATCATGAATTAACATTTGAATTTTTTTGTTGTGATTTGTCATGATTTCTTCATCCCTTCTTACGAGCTTATGTTTTCCTTTACTTTTTGTTTTATGCTGTTATGCTTTCCCTTTGGTATTATTATTATTTTTTTAAATAATTTTTTCAATTAAAACTCTTTTTTTAGGGCTTTCATGGGTGGGTGTTTTCAAATGCTTTGAAAGAACCTTTTCCATATCTTTAATTGACATTTTGTTCAGGTTTATCAAACCCGTTTTCGTCATGTGTTTCGTGTGTAGTTGCTTTCATACTTTGATTTTTTTAATTTCACTTTCTATGAAATAGCATGCACATACTGTAAGAACTCTTCCCACAACCTTCACTATGCACGCCATAATTTCTCATTTCATCTTCATATATTGAACCATCCATGTATGACATTATAACCAATAGGCCTTTGATATAGAAAAACTCTACTAAACTAATTCGTCATACTATAAGAACCTAATTTTACAAGCCCTAATTTTTCATACTATAACAACCTAAGAACTTCCAACAGGAAAATCCTACATTGTTCACAAGTTCAAACTCTAAACTACCATGGCCACAATTGTTCACTCTGAAACAATAGTATAAAATATTGAAATTCCAACTTTCCATGTAGACTAAAAAGTATCTTGCCTTCTAAAAACATAAACACATTAAGCTTTTGGGTCAATCGCTAATCTAATAGATTCATGTAGCTACAGATAATCAATTCACGCATGGAGTTACAACACCTCAGTTTAGAAGAAGCTCTGAGGATTGTTGAATAAACATTTGTTTTCTTAACTCCGTTTGATTGGGCTAATTACATTGATAAAGAGGTTATCTTTGCAACTTGGTAAAGTACATGCCAGTCAAATAGATGCCAGATCAAGTGCAAATCAATGACACATGGATCCTTTGAACTTCTTTGGACTAAAAATCACCATAAGAATTAAGACCAACCAAAAAATAGACTTTATTGTGATAACAAATCAGCTACCAATTGTGCTCCTAGTCTAGAAAACATTAAGGAGCAATGCACCGATTGTTTATTTTTCCATGCCTACTGTTACAAGAATTTCGCAATTTCTTTTAATATATTTTTCTTAAAATGGCAAACCCCGTTATCCAACTATGCATTCATGACACTCAACATGTTCAAGTAATTAACTATTGAGAATTTATTAACATCAATAAAAGTTTTTGTTTTTTTTTTCAAATATTTTCACACTTTCAAATCCTTTTGTTATTTCTCATGTTTTCGAAACGTTTGAAAAAGTTTCCAATTCTATTTTCATTTCCAACCTAACCGAAAGAACGTACGGAAACGAAATTTTGATCCTATTAGAGAAGACGGGAAAATTATCACATTTTAATAACAACATTTGATTTCTTTAACATCAATTTATAACCCAAGTTTGACATCACATATGCACACCCATACAATATCACCGAACAAAGTACTAGCCAAAATAAACAAAAAACAAAAATTAATGGACAAAAAAAAAAAAACCTGATAAAAAAAAACCTGATCATAACAATTATATGATAAACAAAAAAGGAGTGAACAGAGATACAGAAAATCGTAAACTATATCTTACGAATAACAAAATTTGTACCTTTTCAATATCCTAGTTTCAGCAATCCCTAATTTCGAAATTTAAAATCCCAAATCTGAAATGAAAACCCTCATTTATACGATACAAACCTGAATGTGGGTGTTTGCTGAAGGTGTTCCTCGTTTTGCCGGTGGTGTACTGTTGACCGTTGTTCGTTTGCTTCCTCTTCGTCGTCTGTCTTCCCTTCGGAGTTCGGGTGAGTGAGAATCGCAACTGTGTTGTGTTGGATATCAAAAACGGCCTTCGTAAGTTCAAAGGGAGAAGGAGATGGGTTTTGTTAATAATGAAACGGCTTTCCGAAAACCGTTTTGTATTTATGACAAAATTATTATTTTAGGCAAACAATATTTATAAATTGAGAAATTTTTTTTAATAAAAATAAAAACGGTTTTACAAAAACTGTTTTATATAAACTCAAAATTAATTAGACGTTAAGTAAAAACGGCTTTAGAAAAACCAGTTTTACAAAGGAAAATTTTATTATTTTTTTATTCATCAAAAATGGCATTGGCAAAGCCATTTTAAAGAAAATGGGTTTGGCAAAACCGTTTCACCCTATATTGGGAATAAAGTAGAAAACGCACCCTAGAGTGGGACTAAAATATTCAAAATGTCACAGTCAGGGAAATTGGCCGAGAAGAGGTTGGGTTAAGGTTGGTGATGGTGGGAAGAAAAATGAAGAAAGTTGGTGGGGGTGGTGGGATTTGAGTGAAAGAGAAAGGGAGGAAGAAGATGATAAGGTAGAGAGACAGAGAGAGAATGAGAGATAGAGAGGTAGAGAGAGTGTATCTATGAGAGTATGGGAGTGGGCTAGGTTTTTGATGAAATCAAATTTTTTTTATTTTATTTTTAAGACAGACAAAAATAAAAATAAAAACATGAAAAATAAATAAACAAACAAAAAGGAATAAATTAATAAAATAAAACTGCAGCAAATTTTTTTTTTTTTTTAACGTCGTGCCGCATGTGCGTGAATTCACGTTGCACGTGCGGATGTGCCCCCGCACCAGATCACGCACCTGCATATAAAGCAGGCGGCGAAAAAGTTTCAAAAAATTTCCCGCACATGCGGGACCCAGGCCGCACGTGCAGAGATTGTGCCACACCACTCCCGCGCACCTGATTTTAAAGCAGTCACCAAATTGCGGAATGAATCTTTTGCCGCACATGCATTGGATTTTGCGACGCATGCTGATTTTTTTTTTTTCCTTCGTGTTTTAGAGATTAAACCATTTCTTAACCCAAGAACCACCCAAAACTTTTCAAACCATTTCTACCATCATTTTTACATCCGAAATAAATATAGCATTTCAAAAATACTTAAATGCACAACAAAGATATAATCTTCACACGAAAACCACGGGTACCACTTTTCTCCCTAACAATATTTGTAACTTTCCCTATTCTCTAACAGGGTGACAGACTAGGTTAATTCGGTATCCAGAATCGAGGCGCATAAAGCTAACTCGACCTATGGGGCTGCCATACAGAGCTCAAGCCGAAGTGGTTTTGAAGCAAACTGCACACCCTGGGTATTTAAACCAGACTTTAGTCTCGAAAATCCCCAACCTTTGCGTTCTAGGCTTTGCCATTTGAACTCTAGTTTTCACTGTCTCAGTTGGTCTCCTAGAAACTCACTACAAACATAGTTAGGTGGCTATACCAGACCGTCAAATGCCGTTCAGACACGGCTAGCACCAAAAGAATTACACCTTTAGAGGAATTAAAGTCTCCTAGACTCCAAGTAATCACTATAGAAGATATATTGGGTCCGTCAAGTGGACAACCTCAATCATCTTCCCTTTCTCAATACCATCCAAATAATGTTTCAATCGTTGGCCATTGAACTTGAAGGTTGTACCATTTTGTGGATTTTTAATCTCAACCACCCAATGCCAAAAGACTTCAATAACCTCATATCATCCCACCGAGACCGGAGTTTACATGGGAACAAACGCAATTTAGCATTGAACAGCCACACTTTTTGGTGAGGCTCGAAGGACTTACGAGAAATGCGTTTATCATGAAATGCCTTAGTCCTAACCTAGTAAATTTTGGAGCTCCCATATGCAACATTGCGGAGCTCCTCTAAATCATTAAGTTGGAGTTTCCGGTGGTCACTGACTTTGGCCATATCAAAATTGAACTTCCTAATGGCCCACAAAGCCCAGTGTTCTAACTCAACAGGGAGATAGCACAGTTTTCCAAACACAATCCTATATGGAGACATCCCGATGGGTGTCTTATATGTAATACAATAGGCCCAAAGTGCATCAACCAACCTAGTGGACCAATCTGTCCTATCAGGCCTCACAGTTTTCTCGAGAATGTGTTTAACCTCGTTATTAGAAACCTTTACCTGACCACTAGTCTGGGAATGGTAGGGAGTGCTAACCTTGTGAGCGATCATGCATTTGCGTACCAATGCCTCGAAGATTCGGTTGCAAAAATGTTTGCCACTATCACTAATTATGGCACGTGGGAACCCAAAACGACAGAAAATGGTCTCATGGAGGAATTTAACTACAACTTTGTGATGATTCGTTTTGGTGGCCACTGCCTTCACCCACTTGGAGACATAGTCCATAGCCACCAAAATGTATTCAAATCCAAAAGATGGTGGAAAGGGACCCATAAAGTCGATGCCCCAAACATAAAAAATCTCAACAATTAGAATAGGGGTCATCGACATCATATCTCGCCGTGACAGAGCCTATGTGTTGACAACGCTCACAAGCTCTACAGAAGTTATGGTCATCTTCGAAGATAAAGGGCCAGTAAAACCTACACTGTAAAACCTTGGCGGTTGTTTTCTGCCCACTGAAATGGCCGCCACATGCATGAGTGACAAAAGGTGAGAATGTTATGGGTTTCACTCTTAGGCACACAACGCCGAATCACTTGATCCGCACAATACTTGAACAATTCCGAGTCTTCTCAGAAATAATGCTTGACTTGTGAGAAAAATCGGTCTTTGTCTTGCTTAGACCAAGTTTGAGGAATTTGACCAACTACCAAGTAATTCACTATATGAGCAAACCACGGGAGGGTCACGTGTGAAACCGTAAGAAGTTGCTCGACCGGAAACGAGTCGTGCAAGGCTAAGAGATCACTCGTGTGCTCAATAAAGATGTGGGATAGATGATCCACAACTACATTCTCAGATCCCTCCTTGTCCTAGATTTCTAGGTCAAACTCTTGAAGGAGTAGAATCCACCTAATTAACCTAGGTTTAGTCTCTTTTTTGGACAATAAGTACCGCAAAGCGGTATGTTCCGTGAACACGACGACTTTAGACCCTAGGAGGTAGGACCGAAACTTATCAAGTGCAAAAATAACAGCTAGTAACTCTTTCTTAGTGGTAGTGTAGTTTAATTGAGCATCCAAATGAGTGACTAGCATAGGACATAACATGGGGCACTTTATTCACCCTTTGGCCCAAGACGGCGCCAATGGCATAATCTGATGCATCGCACATGATCTCAAATGGGAGCGACCAATCTGGTGATTTCACGATTGGGGCGATAGTAAGGGCCACTCGCAGTGTTTCAAAGGCTTTAAGACATGCCTCATCAAAGACAAAAGGTGCGTCCTTAGCAAGTAAACTACACAAAGGACGGGATATTTTACTAAAATCTTTGATGAATCGACAGTAAAAACCTGCGTGCCCTAGAAAAGACCTAACTTGACGCACAAAATTGGGTGGAGGAAGGCCTACAATGAGGTCAACCTTAGCTTTGTTAACATCTATACCTCGAGAGGACATAATGTGTCCCAACACTATACCCTCGCGAACCATAAAATGGCTCTTCTCCCAACTCCAAATCAGGTTTGCCTCAGTATATCGTGCCAACACTCTAGTCAAGTTTCTTAGGCATTCCTCAAAAGACGATCCGAACACGGAGTAGTCATCCATGAAAACCTCTAAAAATTTCCCCACCATACACCGTTGAAAAGTCGCCGGTGCATTACATAACCCCAAAGCCATGCTCCTATAAACAGAAGTGCCAAAAGGATATGTGAAGGTGGTCTTTTCCTGGTCAGCGGGGTACACCGAGACTTGATTATACCCCGAGTATCCATCAAGAAAACAATAAAAACCCTACCCCGCCAACCTTTCAAGAATTTGATCAATAAATGGCAATGGAAAATGGTCCTTTCTAGTCATGGAATTTAGTCTCCTATAATCAATGCACACTCGCCACCCAGTAGTTGTTCGAGTGGGGACCAACTCTCCTTGCTCATTCTCAACAATAATGATGCCTGATTTCTTGGGCACCACTTGTGTGGGACTCACCCACTTACTATCCGAGATGGGGTATATAATACTAGCATCTAACAATTTCAACACCTCTTTTTCAACACCTCTTTCATATTGGGATTAAGCCTCCATTGCATTTTACAAGAAGGTTTGGTGTCCTCTATATAATGCATGCACACGGAGAGATCTATCCCTCTCAAATCAGCCACCGGCCACCCTATAGCACTCCGATGTGTCACGAGAACACTCATTAACTGACTCCCTGCTTTGTAGTCAAGTCACATGCAATTATGACTGGTAAAGTATCCTGAGGCCCTAAAAATGCATACCTGAGTGTAGCCGGGAGTGGCTTCAACTCAAGTGTAGGTGTTGTGACTAGGGATGGTATGGCAAGGTCTCTAGACAGAGGATGAAGGGACTCAAACCGGGCTTTCCATGGAGAAAAATCCGGTGTAGAAGAAGAATTAAGGCATTCACCTCCTCAACTTATCCGTCAATAGGGTCCTCTACAAGAATGGAAGGTAAAGCCTCCTCCAGAATCCCATCCACTACATCCACAAATCACTCCTCTCTTTCATGGGGTTGTTGGGATGCTTGGAAAACACTGAGTTTCACTTGCATATTCCCAAATGAAACTTCTATAATCCCGGTACGACAATTAATACATGCATTGGCCGTAGCCAAGAAAGGTTGACCTAAGATCACCGGGATTTGTTTCCTAGAACTGGCTATCGGTTCTATATCTAAAACCAAAAAGTCAACAAGAAAATAAAACCTATCGACTTTTACTAGCACATCCT